TCATATAGCTCAACAATAGTTTCAGTATTAAAACTATACAGATTTTTGCAGAGCTGGTAAGACTCTGAAAATACTTAAAAGACAATAGAGGTTGTAGCTCTGTGAGGGCTACGGAGACTGCAGCTTCTGTCATTGGCTGTTCCTCTTTGGTGGCCTTTTTCATTTCTTACACAACACTCACTCTACAAAGTAGCACCAGTAAGACATTTTGAATTTTTGAGAAAGTTGCATTTGTAGTTTTTGTTAACTTTTGAGATAGGATTTGTAAATTTTAAAAATCTGAGGTGACCAGTGGTAAGTACCTGTGAACGGTGGGCTCCCAACTACTTGGAAGACGGAGGCAGGAGACTAAGAGCATGGGGGTGGGGGATTATTAGCCTGAACAACATAATGAGATTACTGTGTAGTGATATTATGTTTGAACAAATAAAGCTTGCCTGAAGATCAGAGTACAGAGCTAAGCCACTAGAGGCCAGGGAGTGGTCGTTCCCATCTTTAATCCCAGGACTCTGGAGACAGATATAGACAATCTCTGTTATTTCAAGGCTACCTTGGGCTACACAAGATTGAGCCAGTCTGAAAGAGAAACAGAGGTCACACAAAGGTGATCCCAACACTTAAAAAGGATCCGATGTCTTTAATCCCAGCACTAGGGAAATGGCAACAGGAGTGATATGGCTGAGCAGATAGGAAAATAAGGAAGAAGGAGACAGAAGCTCAGTGCAGTCTGAGGAAGTAGTCTGGAGATGCAGTCTGGGGACAGGATTGCCCCTTTGGTCTGAGGATTTAGCAGAGGTAAAAGGTCTCTCTAGTGGCTGACTGCACTGCTTCTCTGATCTCTCAGCTTTCATCCCCCTAATATCTGACTCTGGGTTTTTGTTAAGAACAATTAGAATTCGTGATATAACCTTGTTTTTAAAGCACCAATACCTCATCAGTTAAGAGCATTCACTGCTTTTCTAAAAAAAAAAAAAAAAAAAGAACTTCATGTGTATTGGTGTTTTGCCTGTATGTATATCAGTTTGAGGGTGTAGGATCCCCTGGAACTGGAGTTACAGATGTAAGCTGCCATGTGGGTACTGAGAATTGAACCTGGGTCCTTTAGAAAACCATCCAGTGCTCTTAACCACTGAGCCATCTCCAGGCCCCTGAACCATACTACTTTGGAAGAGGACCCACGTTTAGTCCCCAGCACCCACATTGGGCTGCTCACAACAATGTGTAACCAGCCCCAGGAGATTAGACTCCTCTGACCTCCACAGATACTTGCTCTCACATACACATACTCATATCCCCTCAACACATATACATGCCATAAAGTCTTCAAAATTGTACACACAATTAAAACATTAAAAATCTGATTTATTTGACTGATCCCTTTCTTTTTTAAAAAAGGTTGTAAACTGAGACTCTGATTTGGTTTTCCAGCTACCCAGACCCAAATAATCACACAAAAATTATATTAATTAAAACACTGTTTGGCCAATGGCTCAGGCATATTCCTGGCTAGTTCTTACATGTTGAAATAGGAGCGGCGGGGCTGCGTCCCCAACACCCCGGCCGCTTGGCTAGCTCATGCCCGAAATAACAACACACAAACTGTATTCATTTAAGAACTGCTTGGCCCATGAACTCTAGCCCTTACAGGCTAATTCTCGCACCTGGACTAGCCCATTTCTAATGATGTGTGTAAGCACCCCAAGGTGCGGTTACAGGGAAGATTCTAGCCTCCATCCATCATGGTGTCTCTGCTCCAGAGAGCAGAGCTGTCTGGTCTGTCCGGGAGCAGAGCAGAGTCTGACCTCACTTCCTCTTCCGCCCAGCATCCTATTCTGTTTATTCCACCCACCTATGTTCTAAGCTATGAGGCCAAGCAGTTGGTTTATTATAATTAACCAATTACCTTCCTCCATCACTTACATTTTAAGTTAACCCATTTCTATTAATCTGCGTATTGCCACCAGGCTGTGGCTTACCGATGCTGGCATGTTACTACTTTGGTGCTATATGGTGTGTGTCTCTTTGACTCTGCCTTCTCTCTATACATAGATCTCTTCCGATTTCCTGCCTGGCTTTACTCTAAGTCATTGACTGAAACAGCTTTATTCATCAACCAATAAAAGCAACACATATACAGAGGACATCCCACATCAGACAGTTTCAGTCTGTGGCCCTATCTGACCTGGAACTATGTATACCAGACTGGCCTTAAACTCAGAGATATACGTTCTCTGCCTCTGGAGTGGCAGGATTAAGGGCATTTACCCAGCCTATTCCTTTTATAACAACCATTTGGGAGGCTGGAGAAATGGTTCAGGAGGTTAAGAGCATTTATTTTTGCAGAGGACAAGGGTTCGATTCCCAGAACCTACATGGTAGCTCAAAAATATTTGTAACTCCAGTTCCAGAGGAACTGGAACATGTTCTGGATTCCCTCAGCACCAGGCATGCACAGATAGCACAGGCACATATGTTGCCTACACATATGTGCAGGCAACACACTCATATGCATAAAAATTAAAATTACATTGCCCCAAAACAAATGAGATTTATTAGAATTATATTGTAAAGCTTAATAGTGAAAATTTTAGGGTTTTAACATTTGAAACTTGGACAGAACAGGAATGGTTCATTAAATCTGTGGTTCCCAAACTCAGGCACTGATATGTAGAGCATTTTCATCATCAGTAATATCTATCAGTGTTTAGCTTACAATTCCATATCAGTTATTATTATTATCATTCCCATATCAGATGAAGATGAGTTGCTCAAACCTACCCAGCTAATGATGGTTAAGACAAAACGTAAACTCTGCTAGTTTCAGAATCTGGTTTTGCTCTTTTCCTCCCGTTTGGTTCTTGGATCTGGAAGGGGCCCCTGAATTAGTAATTATATCCCGGGTAAATCTGACGCCAAGTCAGTTTGGAAACCAACTTGTGAAATCTATGTTGCACAGATGGCTAGCTCCTTACCCAAGTCTTAGAAATAATAGTTCCTAAGACCATCCAAGCGACTCAGTGCTCCTCCATTTGAGGAGTCGTACACATGCTTTGGGCAGGCTTCAGTATTCGTCCAGTACAATGCTGAAGGAACTGGCAAACTTTAAGAAATAATCCCTGTCTTCAAGGCACGTCCGAGGGCACATATGGGAAGCTGGCAATGAGGTATTTAAAAAACAGCTGTTTAAACCTAGAACTGAGCTTTTCCAACTATATTATTGTTTCTAATTGACGAAGCTGTATTTTAATCACACTTTGGCCAGCTAAAGCCTTGTGAGACTGTTTTGAACTTTGATTCTGGTGTCACGGTCTTTCCACGTGGCTCATCCTGAATGACACCAGGTTTGCTGAGACAGAGAAGATGAAGGGGATTTTGAGCAGCAGTTACCATTGCTCAGAACAGATGCAATCTGGTTACAAAGGGGACACAGGTGAATGAACATGTCCAGCCACTGAAGATGACAGCGTTGACAGTAGAAAATGAAGACTCTTTATTTTTCTTAATCTATAAATATCTGTACTGTCTCTTTAAAGACTTTACCCTTTTTTTAAGACATTAACTTTATTCTTTATATTCTTTTTCTTCTCTCTCCCAAGCCTACATACATTCATCCAACACTGTGACTCATTTAGTGGTCTGTCAGAATCTGTTTTATTGTGAATCTGTAAATTTTTTACTATCCAGGAGCATTTCTTAAAATGCTAAGCACTTCTTAAAAACTTAAGTTGCTCCATGTAGGAGTAATACGGTACCGCCTGTTTACCGCCAGTCTAAACCTTAACTGCACTGTTATTATGGTAATTACGGTAGTTCCTGCCTGAGACACCAGCACAGTTCAGCATGGCAGAGCTGAGCAGCTTCTGCTTCAGAGCCATTTGGTGCCCCTGAGCCACACACAGTTCCAGGCACACAGCAGTCCACATTGTCATCAAGCAAGCCGTAGCACTTTATTCCACATGCTCCACTCAAAAGCTCTGTCTCCCGCAGGAGCCAGACAGAGATCACAATGGCAGCATAGCCCAGAAAGCTGGCATTTTAAAACAGCCAGTTTTTCCCTGTTGCTGAGTCAGGACAATTTCTCTCTGCGGCACACCACCCACAAACAGCAAAAAAGCCGCATTAAACTCTTTTTTTCTTATTTTTAAGCCTTTTATGTTTAAAATAAGTGGATTTAGTCCATCACGTTGAGCGCCACTCTGTTGTAATAAGAGCGGCGGGCTACTTTCCTGGCACCCGGCTGCCCACATGGCTAGCTTTATCCGAAATAATTACACGGAGACTGTATTCTTTTTTTTTTTGATTATGCTCATGGGTTTTATTTTTTTTAATTTTTATTTATTAGATTTCTGATTCTTGACTATATTCTTTTGAACACTGCCTGGCCCATTAGTTCCAGCCTCTTATTGGCTAGCTCTTACATATTGATCTAACCCATTTCTAATAATCTGTGTAGCCCACGAGGTGGCTTACCAGGGAAGATCTTAATCTGCAGCTGTGTCAGGTGGGAGAATCATGGTGACTGCCTAACTCGGCTTCTTTCTCCCAGCATTCTGTTCTGTCTATTCTGCCTACCTAATTTTCTGTCCTATCAGGTGAAGCAGTTTTCTTTATTAGTTAACCAATGAAAGCAACAGATAAGATACAAGACCCACCTCCATCAGACTGGAGCCCGTGAGAGATGGGGAGTGAACTCGGGGGCACTAAACACTTATATTTAAGGCCAAACCCATTGGAGGAAACCCTCAAAGTTGATGCATGCAACTCTTATCTTGAGGTGGGAAATCACAGGAACTCATACAGAACGAGACTGACGGCACCAGATTAGAGAGTATGAAGAGGAGGTAAACTGTTATCTTTGAACACACAGGAATTCAGTTTAAAATGAAAGCCAAAACATACACGGGACAAATCTACATTTTTAATCTTCACCTTTATCATGTCTACAAAAGAAGTTACTAAATAAATACATCTAAGTTTCTTTAGACTGAGTTATTGAGGGGTTGCTCAAGACAAACGAAAATGACATAATTTGGGATATACATATAAAAACACTTCTAACAATATTTAATAGATGACAAAAAGCTCAATAAAAGGACTAAGCACAGCAGCACACCAGTGGGCCATTCCTTTGGAAAGGCTCTGAAGCTGTGCACGCGGGATCGGCAGGTCGGCTGAGTGGTACATTAGCATCTGCAGTGTTCTAGTTTGCTCAAAACAGAAAGTTACACCAAAGACATCTTTAGCCCAGATGATGGGCTAACTGAAAATCTTTCCTTGCTTGTTCTGGGAATCAGATGGGCAGATCTGAACCTGGATTTTAAAACAGCCGCCTCTAAGTAGGTGTGGGGGGTCAATCTACCGTTCGCTAGCTTTCACCTGTGGCTGGGGGGGGGGGAGTTATCAAATTTACAATTGAATATTACAAACACAAGAGCTGATTTCTAACGGACGAGATTATTCTAGATGTAAAAACAACATTGTTTCATGCCATCCCAGCTTGGAATCGCAAACTCCAGTTGAGTCCAAAATTGAAACCTCACGGAGATTTTAATCTTTTTTATTTTTTTTGGACCTAGAGAGGGAAGGAAGCCTACCTTAGTTTGGAGAAAATATTAAAGAGGGAGATAAACACAGAGACACACACACCACACACGGTATGTGGGCAAGCTGGTACTTTCGGCAGGGGGATCCCCAAGGCCTACAAGTAGGAAGGGGGTCGGAGAGGCACGTTTTTCTGGAGTCTGCGCTGATTTGGGGGCTGCCTGCCCATCTGACTTTCTCATCTGGCGGTCGGGATATTGCCTCTGGTTCACCTCCAGGACCGGTGGTGTTGCGGTCCATGTCAGCTCCCGGGAGAAGTGCGCAGCTGAGGGGCAGGGGGCGTCGGAGCCCCTCTCCCACAGCTGCTTCCGGAAGTTTCTGTGGCCAGAGCCCCCAACCTCAGCTCAGCCCCCACGAGGAGTCCGAAGTGGCGGGAAGCCGAGACTTGAGAGGCCGCCCCGACGCGAGGGCGGCGGGAAAACCTGGCGGAGGATCCGGAGCGTCCGGCAGTGCCCGGCTCAGCGTTCGGGAAGTAGGGGCCATGGGTCGCAGGTAGAAATGCCCACACCAAGCGGGGCCTCGCCACGGAGGGGCGGCCAGGGCCTGCGGGCGGGCCGTTTCGGTGCCCCTCCCGCGCCGCCGCTGGCCGGGCGATGGCGGCGACGGTTTCTCGGCTCCCCCGCCCCCGACGCCGATGGCGGCGCGTTCCGGCCCTCCCTCCCCCACAGCTTCGCCCCGCGGTCGACAGAGCCGGTGAAGCCGGGAGGGCGGGGAGCGGCGGAGGGACGGCGAGAGGGCGGAGGTTGCGTGGTGCAGGCGGCGGCGGCGGCGGGAGGAGGAGGGCCGGCAGGCGGGCAGGGGAGGGAGGAGGAGCGGGCGCCGTGTCGCACGCAGCTCCAGGCGGGGCAGCCCGGGCGCTGAGGGACGCGGCCAGACCTCGGCGGGCCCCGCGAGCACTACACGCCGTCGCCCGAGCGTCGGGGGGCGCCCGGAGATGCGGGTGAGTAGCGGCTCGGGCCGCGGCGGCGGGAGGCAGCGCAGGCCCCCGGCGGAGCCGCGGCGTCGCAGTGACTCGGGCCGCGGCGGCCGAGCCCGGGCTGCCGGCGAGGCCTGAGGCGCCGCGCCGCGCCGCGCCGCGGCCAGGCGGAATGGCGGCCGGGCCAGGGAAGTCGTGGGCGGAGGACGCCGAGGGCGGAGCGGAGCCGGCAGGCCCGGCCTGAGTCACCCGGCCGGCCGGGCTCGGCCTGGGCCAGGACTCGCAGGGCCAGGCCCCGGCTACGCACTGGGAAAAAGCCGGACTCGGCGCGGCCTGTGGCGCCGGCCTCCGCACCTCACGCGCCACCCACCCCTCCCTTCCCCTCGGTCCTGCGGGTTCCGCTCGGCCGGGGCGCCTGTGAACCCGGGGACTCGTGCTCTCGGAGAACCGGGGGCTCGCATTGTTGCGACGGTGCGGGGCATGATTATTGGGTAACAGTGGTGCCCGGGGCTCCGTTCTCTCCGTGAGCGTGGCCGGGCAGGCGCGCAGGGATGCGGTGTGCTTCTCCAAACGCACGGAGCCCCGGGGCGTCCGCCAGCCCTCTCGAGTCGGGCTGGGCCCAGCGCGGCGGCCTCGGCGCGCCCCCGGGCCCGGCGGGAGCGCGCGCTCTGACCCCAAAGGTAACCGGGCGCCAGGCCAGGAGGACCAAGTCGGGGTCCCGTGGCCCGTGGACTCGCGCTCCTCTATTCTTAAGTCCCGCGTGGCCCTGAAAGCCCCCTCTTCCTGTCACCTGTGCACCGTGAGACACACGAGCTAATTCAGAAAGCAAGGAACGCACGCACACTCATTCCTTGAGCCTAATCTCCGAAGTTAAGGGAGCCAAAATGATTCCCCTTCCCGACGAGGTCACTGTCGGGGCTTGTAGAGTTAGTTCGCAGTCGTTGGGGGTCTGTGGTAAGGGCACAGACTGAAACGCAGTCAAGTTGTTCAAGCGGTTTTAGTTGCTCTGTGTGTACTTACTCTTTGCTAAAGCTAAGTGTGGAATAAATGATCACTGTTTTAGAAAGGCGCTTATTGGGGTGACAGAAGAGGAACCAACCTTTTTACTTTAAGTTTCTAGGACCTAAACCTAACACATTGAAGAAGCGAGTGTAGTTTAAGAAAATAAGGATATGAGGGGTTTTTTTTCTCTGTTTGAAAAGGTTTCAAGCAGTTATTTAATTTTTACTTAAAACCTGTATTTATTGCTTCCCATAGTAAGTTGAAAAAGTTACATCTCATTTTAAAATCTGAGTATGCAAACACAAAACTGGCTTGTTTTATCTTCTATTATCCCCATTTTTGGAGGTTTTAGGGGAGCACTTACAAAACCTGGGAGAAAAGGCTGAAGTACTTTCTAAAAATGTTAACCTCTTCCCTTTTCCCCTCATTGGTATCTTCTTTTAAAAAAGCCAACCAACTTTAGATGTGCTAGGATGGATGCTTCAGTTTGTAAAATGTGTCTTTCCTGAGCCTGGTAGGTGTGGCCCGAATTCCTACATGCTGCATACATTTGAGCTGATTTGGCCAGGTGTCTTTAGACACTGTAGAGTGTTGTTCTCAGGAACTCCTCCTCCTTGTTGCTCTATTTAATTTTGCCAGTGCCAGCTTATTTCCCATACATTTTGACTATGAGATCATTGAAGACAAGGGAATAAGTCCTTTGTTTCCCTCAAATAACATAGAACATGATTTTGGTGGTACCTTGAATAAATATTTTGAACTAACTAAATAATCCTAGGGTTTTACCACTCCCCCTAATTTTGGCTGCAGAAAACAGCCTGCAGAAAATGACTGCTGTTGAGCTGGGTAAGAGGGCAAACTTGATTCTTATGTTGCCTGCCCCTTTAGAATGGAATTGTCGTCTTTGGGTCTCCCTCCACCTCCATAGCTAGGGGTAAAATGTTGAGGGTTTCTTTAGTTGTGGAAATCCAGATAGTGTGAAATAAATCTAGTTCAAGGGGTCAATATTTAGACTTTTTTTGTTACTAATTGAAACAAACTTGTTTTTATCTCTTTGCCTTTGATGTAGAGCAGGTTAGTATTTAAGGCTGTTTCCTACTGGGAAGATAGGTCAGCCCAGTTGTACCAAAAGTTTCTGTGCATGCACCCCAGGGCACATGTGGAAGCCAGAAGATGGACTTCAGTAGTCTGTTCTGTATCTTTTGGGCCCCAGAGACCAAACTCAATTCCTTAGTCTTGGCAGCAAGTACCTAAGGTGGTTTTTAAGTGATATCATCTAAGTTTTCTTTAATCCCTTAAACTATGTGAATTCCAGGAGAATGTCATAACTTTTAAGCACAAGCAGTGGGCATTGGAGAACTACCTTGTAGAACATAACATACCATTTGTGTATGACCACCAGAGTTATAAAAAAGCCAGGTTTGATTGTATTTACTTTCTCCTTTGGGAAGCCTGGACAGAGGAAGGGTACTCTGCTCTCCGCTTTCACTCACGCTTCAGCTTGATTGCAGTTCTGTTCCGTTTGGTGATCTCCGTGTCTTTCTTTTCCTTCTGACCACTTGTCAGCTCGGCATCTCCATCTCAGGAAAGCTGCCATGCTGTCTAGGAGCTTTCCCTGGTCCTCGTGATGTCCTGTCTATGGTATTATCTCAATGCTTACCCTTCTGATGGTGGTTTCTTCCACTAACCTGACCTTTACCCAGGGACAGGGTGGAACACATCTGACCCTAGTACCTAGCACAATGCTCATGCCAATATTCATGTACATCCTTCCATTTCTGCAAAGCCCTGTGAAGTGTAAGTACTGACGTTTAACCTTCCTTGTAGAAAAAAGGTTCCTGGACCGAGTAGTTTCTATCAAGGCTAAGAAGATGTAATGCCCCACCCAGGTGGGAGGTTAGAGCAAGATGGTAATCCCGGAGTTTACCATTACTTTTTAACCAAGGGCTCACCCTGAAAGTCTGATGTATATGAAATAGAGGAAGATTAGTAGAGACTAAAGTGAGAGCATCTTTAAGTGTTGATGTCTGACCTTTACAACAAAATGTATCATACATAACAATGGTTGGCTCCCAGGAGTGAGTTTATTCTTCCTGGTCCTTCAGAAAACACTGGAGAGTACTTAGGCACGGCTGGTGTAGGCAGGGGCAGTTGTGGGACTTCGGGGCTGTTGTAAGTTGGTGTTATGTTCTGAAATTCTTAACCAGTAAATAAGCTACATTTTTTTAAAAGGCCTGTGTCAGAAAATACTTTAGAAAACAGGCTGTCAATTTAACTCTGTATAAAGTATGTGCTGGTATAAGTAATTAAAGTTGTAAAATGGTGATTTTAGGTGAACTTGTGTGCTTTTAAAATATTTTTTAGAAAAAAAATTAATAACCAAAAAATAACAATTTCAAGTCTCAGGTGGAGAAACTTAAATAATACCATAATACCAAAAATACAGACTTTAAAGAAGATAGTACAATTACTTTGGAATTATAAAACTTCCTTATGATAAACAGAGTAAACGGCAAATCACAAACAAAAATGTTTTTATGAGCAAATTTATTTTTTAGACTATCAAAGAGAGCTTGTAAACTAATGGGAAAGAAAGATTTCTTCACATGGGAAAAAAAAGACAAACTAGGGTAGAAAACCAAGAAGTCTTCCGCTTCACCAGCAGTGTTCCCAGAAGTGGGCATCTGAGCTGTTTTCAAATAAGCCACTTCTGTTGAGAAGGTGGAGAAGTATGCCTACTTGTTGATAGAAAGAGTATAAGTAAATATAATTTAAAATATTTTTTCCTGTATGGATGTTTGCAGGCATATATGTGTATGTGCCATATGTGTGCCTGGTGCCCAGAGAGCAGACCTGGTGACCACAGAGGCTAGAAGAGAGCACTGGATCTCCTAGAACTGGTTACAAGCCACTGTGTTGGTGCTGGAAACTGATCCTGACAGCTCAGGAAATGCTCTTAACTGCTGAGCCATCTCTTCAGCCCCAACTAAATACAGTTTTTCAAGAACAAGCCGTGTAACAGGAACTTTTGAAATGATGTATAATTTGATATAACTTGCCTAATCTTAAGTTTTTTATTCATATAAAAAGTGGTAATAGGGGGCTGGAGAGATGGCTCAGTGGTTAAGAGCTTTGCCTGCTCTTCCAAAGGTCCTGAGTTCAATTCCCAGCAACCACATGGTGGCTCACAACCATCCGTAAAGAGATCTGGCGCCCTCTTCTGGCCGTCAGGCATACACACAGACAGAATATTGTATACATAATAAATAAATAAATATTTTTAAAAAAAAAGTGGTAATAGACTAATGACCCCCCCCATGTGACTTAATGTGTGCGCGCGCAGACACACACACACACACACACACACACACACACACACACACGGAAAGAGTTTCTCCGTGTAGCTTTTGACTGTCATGGAAGTTGTTCTGTAGACCAGGCTGGCCTAGAACTCATAGAGATCTGCCTGCCTCTGCCTCTCAAGTGCTAGAATTATAGGTGTGTGCCACCACTGCCTGGCTTAATGCCTTCTTAATTGTGCATTCATTTTCAGTTTGGGGTTATTGTGGATAAC